TCTATTTATTTCGTAAGTAAAAATACAGAAGGCCCAGTTACAGTTGAACTTTAGATAAACAGTGAGTGATTTGGTATAAGTCTGTCCTGTGTAATATTCGGGATATACTTACACTAAAAATACACCAAAAATTGTTATACTATAAGTATTCATCATTCATCTGAAATTCAATTGTAACTGGGAAACCTGTATTCTATTTGGCAACCCTTCTTATAGTATAGCCTGTACCTGAGATGAAATTGACTTGCCATCCCTGACCTCTACATTTATCATCACTTCAGGCTGTCAAATGATTAAAACTCCATTCTAATTAGTTTGAGGGGTAACTATTAGATTACGTAGCTTAAAATTACATCAAGCACTGATGGATTCAAGAGCTTAAACAATAGGTGAGGTCTCTATCCATCTCTCCAGCCCTCAGTCCCACTTCCTTGTTGGCTTCTTCTACAGTCTAGCTCTTTCCACCTGACAAAGAGGAAGGCCCCCCTCCATGGCAGATTTCTTTATTCCCAACTTAACAACAAGGGAATTTCCTCCTCTCAACTTCTCTCTAGAAATCCAGGGCAACTCTGATTGGCCTAGTGTGGCTTCTGCACCCATCTCTAAACCTGTAACTGTTACCATCAGAACAGGCCTAGACTGGACCAGGGGTCTGTGCCTATAGTGGGGGTTGGATTAAGATACCTTGCTGAGTAGTCCCACCAGGATAATTTGGCATGGGATGGGTACCATTCCCAAAAGGAGTAGGGTGCCAGGCAGGAAAAAAACCAACAGGGGTCCATTTCCACCCTGTATTGTCTAATCCAGTTAGAGAAATACTTCAATATATAGAAGGTCAAAATCTGCAACTGAGAAACAAATATGTAATAAACTATAGTAAATCCAAGGTACTAGGACATTTATGAAGGCAAAACAGTAGTAACCTGTCATAACCAAATATCTTATTGCAAGAAAGAAATAGCCAGAGAGAGAGAGAGAGAGAGAGAGAGAGAGAGAAAATTATTGGTAAATGCCCCTTAGGGAAACACTTCTGACCAAGTATTGGTTTTCAAATAGTTTCAAAGCATGGAAAAAAAGTTCTATGGTTTCCTCACACCATTGAAGCATCTCTTTGTCAGAACCCAAAGAGTTGACTACCAAGGGTACTTCCCCCTTGCATTGTTTATAGCTGTATAAATAGAAAGTATATGCAAGGTATGTAAGGAGACTGTCAGGGTTTGAATCCCAGCTCTACCACTTGCCTGCTGATGAACTTGGACACACTGCCTAATACATCAGCATTTCGGCACTAAGGTGAGCTGCTGCTTGGACCAGGGGCCCACCCTGGAAAAAGGCAGGGATGTCTTGGGCAACAAGGTCTACAGGTGAAGAAAGTCTCCACAGAAGGGGACTATGGTCAGGAGTGGAAATAAAACTCAAACAGACCACCTATTTAAGAAAGTAAGCTTTCCATCTCCATCCCCATTCTTGTGTGGAACCCCAGGATCCTGTAGAATACTTTTTATCCACACCGTCATAACAAAAGATAAGTGCTCCAAGAGGGACATATTTAACATGCTGCAGGGAAACAGAGAAGAGATGAATGTGAGGGAGTGGGAAAGCAAGGCCAGAGGAGGTTGAAGGTGTGTTCACCAAAAAAAGATGACATCCAAGTGTGAATTTGAAGGATGAATATGAGTCCCCCAAACAGAAAAGAAAAGCAATAGCCCAAGCAAACACAGAGGCATGAATATGCATGGCAACATCTTCCAACATTTTTGACTCTTAAATCTCACATGTCTAGCTGCTACACACTCAAAGGTTCTTCTGTTCTGCTTTGAAAGAGAAGAATAGGTAAATAATTTTGTGTATTGATTTGCTTAGAAATTAGGAATCAAAACAGAAACCATCACCTCTTCCAATGACATAAATCTCCTGGAGCATCATTGTGAATCCTGGAATGTCTGGGCACCACAGTAGGGAGAAACTAATGGATAAAGAGGCCAGGGCTGCGAAGTCTCATGTGTTATGCAAGGCATGTCGACTTTATATGATAAACAAAGGGGAATCAAGGAAGGTTTTCAAGTAGAGGCTTGACAAAATGTGGTACTGTGAAATGAGAAGTTACTTTTTCATAATATTAATAACTATAGCTGTGGTGCGCAGCCTCTGAGATGGACCCCCAATGAAACCCACTCCCTTATGGCCCATCTTTGTATCATCCTTTTCCCCCTGGATGTGGTCTATACCTAGTGACTTTCTTCTGGTAAATAGAGTATAACAAAAGGAATGGAATGCCACTTCTGACATTGTTACAAAAAGACCGCGTCCCCTGTCTTGCTGGCCCTCTCTTGCCCTCTTGCTTCCTCACACTGATAGAACCCAGTTGCCTTGTTTGAGCTGCATGATACAGAGGCTCACATTTCAAGGAATTAAGGAAGACCTCCATTCAACAGCTGGGGGAAACCAGGTCCCTTAGTCCAGCAGCCCACAGGGAACTGAATCATTCCAACAATCACAAGAGTGAACTTGGAAGCAGATCCCACCTCAGTCAAACCTTCAGATGAGATTGCAGCCCCACCACCACCCTGATTATTAGCCTTGTCAGAGACCCTGAAGTAGACACATATAACTTAGTTGTACCCAGATCCTGTACCATAGACAGTATGAGACAATAAATGTTTGTTGTTTTAAGCCACTAAGATTTGGGGAAATTTGTCCCATGGTAATATATAACCAATACAATAGCTCACATTATTTAGTTCATACTCCCTGTCAGGCACTTTGCTAAACACTGTGTGTGCATTAACAATCTCATCCAATCTTTGGAAGAAACTGTATGAGGTAGGATGATGATCTCATTTTATAGATAAGCATTCTGAGGCTTAAGCCTAGTTAAGGAACTCTTCTAAGCTCACATAGGTGGCTAAGCTAGGATTCTGATTTAATCTTTCTTATCACAGAATGCTAGTTCTGAACCACTACACCATATGTTGTCTTGAAAGCAGCAGTGTTGTGGGAGTGGGGAGTCATGTTAGGGATGGGGGGCAAGGGAGGCATTGACTTATAAAAAGTCCCTCATTGAGTCTAAAGAAAGCTGGAGGAGAGTAACTAAGAGCTGATAACTTCGTTTCACCTTTAAAGGCTATTAAATACAACATATTGTAGTGGAACTAGTGACCTTATTAAAACATTTACTCACACATTACTACTTGATAAAATTATGAGTTAATAAATCTTTTTACACTTGCAAAGGTACAACAAACCATTCATCTGAAGGAAAATCATCTGGTTACACTGACTTGTTCATTTCAGGATATACTAAAATCTCCAAAAAGCCAATGAGAGACTTTGGAAAGAAAGAGATCTCTATAAGCCTCTTGGTACCCTCTAATCCAGAAGCACACAGCAAGATATCCTTCAAGCCAGCCCATCTATCCACCCATTCCTCTCACTCATCCTTCATCTGTTCCTCTGGCAGAGTGTTGGGAATGCCCTCTTTAGCCAAAAGTATCATCACAGTCACCTGGGAAAAACAGCTGATTGATAGGGGTACAGAAACGGAGAGGTGGAAGCAAAGGAAAATTGTCTGCCCTCTGGTTTTGCTGTTACAATGCAAAACCTTCTTTCAGAGAAGACCTGCAGGCTTGGCATGAGAGGGAGACATCCAAGCCCCTGGCAATAGGTACAGGTATCCAAGCAGTGGGAGGAGGGGATGGGCATGTCCAAGATGACTTCAAGATTATTTCAAAAAAGACTGTGTCTCCTGTGTTGCTGACCCTCTCTAGCTCACACATGGCATCCCCCTTCTCAGTAGAAGAATACACTAGCCTTTATCAACCTCCTGCTTGAATCCCTTCACAGTCTCCTTTCTCCCACTACTCATCCATTCCTCCTTATCCTCCAACTTAGGAGCTCTTTATTTTTTCTTAGCAATCTCTAACAAAATGGCCGTTAGACAATTTCCCAGAGACACCCTAGAATCAGCCATGTATTGTAAATGAAAGGTACAAGGAACTTTCAACTGACTATAATAATTAGAGAGAAGGAGGCGTTTGTTAAAAGAAAACTAGCAAAAACATGGTACAAAATGTATAGGGATGTCAATATTTTAGTTCAAATTATATCCAGCATTTAAGAACACAGTTGTCATCCTGCAGAAGTAGTCTAAATGTGTAAATATAATCCAATAGTTTAAAAACACAGACACGGTATAAATTGCTTAATAAAAGAAGTGCCAAAAGTGTAACATCTGTTAACATAATTAGTTGTTATTACCTCTTTCTTAGCTGAATTCTCCTTTATGTGTTCCTAATATTAAAGCTAGACCCAGGTTGGGCAGAGGTCTAGCAGCCCCTTCATACTTACTCCTCTTCATCTCCTCTCATTGAAAACCAACAGCCTCACTGCTCTAACCCATCATGAAGAAATCAATAACTTGCTGCAGAGCTGGAACTGGCTGCACACCTGCTACATGTCAGTGGCATAATAAGACCATTACACACATGTCTGTTTTCGTTTAATCTTCGTAATGACTCTACGAAGATTTCCACATTTCAAAGAGGAAGAAACTGAGTCTTGGTGAGATTTAGTCGTTTACCCAGCCAGAAGTAACAGAGCAGGAAGTGAATGCAGGCAGTCTGACCTGCACCTAGTGCAGCTCCCATCCTAACGTGCCTACCTTTCCTATGCAGGGTAGACCTCTGTTCTCTCTCAGAGGAACTGTTGGCAGAGGGATGGAACCACACACTTTAGGCCACAATCTCAGGAAGGGATCATTTGCCATTGTCTGCCCAAAGCCCGCCTCTGCACCTGGCTCTAGCTAAACACCAACAAATATTAGTTGCATTAAATTTCAAACAACTGAGTTTACCTTAGTTGTTCACAAATACTCTGCTAAATTTCTGTTTTATAAATTGTATTCTGTAAACATGTTAATCCTCCCTTGAACAGCACAAAGGTGAATGGCCAGCTGGAGGTTTACTGGTCTTTGGTAGTGTTGTAATCTGGGTTCCCTCCAGAAAGCAGAGAGTCTATTTTGATAAGCGATCCCAGGGAACAGGAATGGGGAACTGGGGAGAGAGGGCATCAGAGAAGGAAAACCTGATTCAAACGTGAGTTCTGGAGTTGGTCAACCAGCGGGCCATGCTACAGGGGCATGATCCCACAAAGACTCTAGAGAACCAGGTAGAATGTGCCTCTGAATTGCCTGTGTGAAAGAAGAGAAGAGATTTACTCATGGGCTCCAGTCTCCCTGGGGTATTAAAGCACCTTCACTTCCAGGCTACACATCATAAACGCCGAAGAGGATTCCTCAGGTATCAATAACCCTGGCAGAAAGTGAGAGGTATGAATGCAACTAAAGTGACGGGCTTGCAGCTTGCACTCGTGGGAAGCAGGTTGCTATAATACCCACTAGAAAAAGCGGAGAGCTGAGAGGATGTGAGGCTGGCCACAGGAAGTGTCCCTTACAGATCCACCTAGGCCCTCTTGGTGCTGGGGTCTGGAGGGAGAGGGGAGGGACTAGTGAAAATATTGAGGTGGGGGGCACCTGAAGTCTAGCCTAGCTCTATTCCAGAGGCATTTGAAAAGTGCATTTCCTCACTCTCCAATCAACAAATTAGAAGGCTATTCAGATTAAAAACTCTCCTTTTAAATGGAAATAAGAGAGAGGCCAAGGTTAATTCAACTGGTCATTCAAATCTACTGTGAAAGCTTTAATGGGATTGCCTCTTTAAAACCCTAGGAGGCATACTAGGAAGCAGGAGTTCGGATGGAATATGATGGGAGAGGGATAAAGAAAGGTAATGAATGATTGCTCTTATCTGGTAAATGTGAAGCAGCCTGCTTTGTGCCCAAAACACAGGTCACACCATGTAAGGAATGTGTAATGTATCGGTGTAACCTGAAGCCAGTGCTGAACCGGCAACTCCCTGTTAGCATCAGGCCTGTTTTGTTTTGTTTTGTTTTTTTTGTTTTTAACCTCTCTTGTGAGATGTGTAAAAATACACCCACACAAGATGACACATTTTTACAACTTTAGAGAAGTTTTAGAATTCTCAACTGTGCTTATAATGAGGACTTTCTATTTCCCTGGGAATCACTGGGCTATACAGGCAATTTGAAGTTTATCAAAAACATTGCCTCTTATTTTAGCAACTCGGTTGTTCAATGTGTCATGAAGTGTGGGAGGAGGGGGCAACAGGACTCCTGGCTGATGCTTATCTGAGAGGATTCTGCTGAAGAGCTGTAATCACTGGATATATTAGTGGGGAAGCAACTGGCTCTTCCTATTAATAATAATTGTTATAATAACAATTGTAGCAAACTCTAATAGTATGAGGAATCAGTGCCAGGTACTGTTCTAAGCACTTACATATATCAACTGCAGTAACCCCAGTAACCCCAGTCATCCACAGGGGAGACAGTCCAAGCCCCTCAATGGATGTCTGAAACCATGGATAGTACCAAACCCTCTATGTTCTGTTTTGTTTTTTCCATTCATACATACTTATACCTAAGGTTAATTTTTAAATTAGGCACAGTAAGAGATTAACAATAACTAGTAATAAAATAGAACAATTTTGACAATATGCTAGCATCACTACGCTTGAGCTTTGGGGATATTAAGTAAAATATAGTGATTTGAACGCAAGTAGTGTGATACTGTGATGAACTGATAACTCAGACAGCTACTAACAGACAAACAGGCAGGAAGTACAGACAGTGTGGTTATGCTGCACCAAAGGAGGATTCACATCCTGTGTGGGATAGAGGAGTGGGGCATGAGATTTCGTCACGCTACTCAGAATGGCAGGCAATTTAAAAACTCTGAATTGTTTCTTTCTGGAATTCTCCATTTCCTACTTTCTGACCTCAGGAAACTGAAACTGTCCCAAGCAAGATCAAAAATAAGAGGAACTGCTGTAATTGTGAATTGAGTACTATCATTATATTTTATAGGTGAGGAAACTGAGGCACAGAGACATCAAGGAACTTGTCCAAAGTCACATAATAAGTAATGATAGAGTTGTAATTCAAACCCAGGTCACCAGGCTCCAGAGTCCAGCACTTAGGCATTCTGACTATAGGAGACCCAGGGAGACCTATGTGAAGCCTTCAGGGCTGAGAAAAGTCAGGGACTAGAAGGTAAACCCCTGTGAGCCCATTTAGCCACAGGGCACCTGGGATAGGGGCTGAGGCTGGGGCAAAGCCCACATGGCATTCATCCATGGCCTTCATGTCAAGGAATGCCTATCAGAGAAGAATGGTGGTTCCATTCACTGTGGAAAAGTGAGAACTGGAGGACATGTAAAAATCTGACTCCTTCTATCTGCCTAGTGCAGAAGCCTGGGGGTGTGTCTGTAGATGTGCCCAGATGCTCACCTCCGTGCATGTGGCCACCTTGGCCCAGGTCACTGCCAGCGCCTCATCAATGGTGTCTCTGGTTTTATTCCTGCACCCTCCTGGTCATACTTTGTGTCACAAACAACATGATCTGTTAAAAATGTCAAGTAAGTCACCTCACCCTTTTGCTTAAAATATTTTAACAGCCTCCCATTGCACTTTTTTTTTCTTTTTTGAGATGGAGTCTTGCTCTGCTGCCTACGCTGGAATGCAGTGGTGCCATCTTGGCTCACTGCAACCTTCACCTCCCAAGTTCAAGCAATTCTCCTGCCTCAGCCTCCCAAGTAGCTGGGATTGCAGGTGCCCACCACCATGCTAGCTAACTTGTTTTATTTTTAGTAGAGACAGGGTTTTGCCATGTTGGCTAGGCTGGTCTCGAACTCCTGACTTCAGGCGATCCACCCGCCTCAGCTTCCCAGAGTGTTGGGATTACAGGCGTGAGCCACAGCATCCGGCTCCCATTGCACTTAGAATCTAACATCTGAATGTCTTTGCCGTGGCCTATGAAGGTCTTGCATAATTTAGCTCCTACCTGTCTTTCCAACTTCATGTCTTATGCTTTACTGTTGGAGGGACAATCACACTGGCTGTCCTTTGGTCAGGCCCGTGGCCTACTGTGAGCCCTCCCGAGGTTGCATTCCTCCACGTGCTCTTAACCTGGTCAGCTCCCTTTCAGTTTCGTTTTCATCTCAGGGGCAGAGCCGAGTTCATCACACTTTTAAGTTCATAGCACATCATCAGGCTGGATTTTCAAGGCTCTTGCTTGGTTCCTTTCATTACAAGTTGTTTTTCTCTTTTTCCCTAATCCTGTTCTCATGCCCACCACAGAGGGCATTGAGACTGGCTCTAACCCATCCTTGTTATGTGCGTTATGATGTTTCTAGTGTGTACTTTCAGTGCACACAAAGGCATTGCTCGTTTCCTCTTATTCTGTGTCCTGCCTGTTTTCACTCCACGTTATGATTTTTGGAGCTGCTATCCATGTTCCTGCGCCTCCTGTGCCTATTTCTTCGTGCTCGGTGGTAATCCACAGCAATCATTAGCCCTCGTGAAAGACCCCTCTACCTCCCTCCTGTCACAACATTGTCCTAAGAAACATTCCAGAACACATTTTCTTATAGACCTAAGCAAGACTATGTGCAATTCCAGGCACACACATATTCAATTTTGGTAAATACTACAAGTTTGCTTTCCAGAATGGCAACACCATTTTATAGTCCTTCCCTGAGCCTCAGAGAATCTTTTCCCAGATCAAACATAATTCTGCCTTCCCTTATTCTATATTTCAGTCCTTCCTGACTTCATAAAATGTGTCGCACTTTGTATCTGTTCCATTGGCCTGTTTGCTTGTATTTTGATGGTCTCTTCCTCTAAAATGTAAGCTTCTTGAGGTCAAGGACTTTGCTTGCTTTATTCTCCACCATAAACTCAGAATCTAGAACAGTGTCTGGCACATAATATGAACTCAATAAAAATATGTCAAATGAATGAATAAACAAGAAGTTTGGTATGGTGGGTAAATAATGGTGAAAATGTGCATGGAAAGTCCCATGATAATGAGTACCATGGTACCAGATCATTATGCTAAGAGTTCCTTAAACTCATGAAACTTTTAAAATCAGATGGAATAATATCTGGGAAAGATAAGAACTTTCAGCAATCTACACCTATCCCGTGGATCTGGAGTTAAACATATTTGCGAGATATGCAAAGGCCTATCTTTGCACGGGGAGTGTATTCCAGGCTTGTCTGTAGGACTGAGAAAGCTCTCGAGCTATGTTATTGCTTACATTCCTTTCTATGAAGCTGTATTTTCCTGTTTCCTGTAACAACCGCAATCCCCTCTGCTATGCGTTAACCTCATTCCCCCTTCCCCTTTCCTAGCCTTGGACATTCTCCACATCATTTACAATCTTTCAGCTCACCTAAGGTGGACAATTTCCCCTCAGGCTGTTGTTCACCCAATACAGGGCCAGTTTCTCTAGGAAGGTAGCTCAGATCTGGTAGGGGTTTAGCAGTCATCGTGCAAGAGAAGAGAATCTAATTGGGATATTTATGTCATTGTTCTTAAAGGTCACCTTCCTTGTCCAAGTCATTGGAGCTCCCAGGGCTATTTCTAACGCCTTGTTTTAATGGCCTGACACTACTGGGGTCATTTCCCTCTGTGTCGTACCCTGGAAAGAAGTCAGTACCATCCCCTCCCCCTGCTTCCAATCCTTTGTTTTATTAGTTAGTTCGAAGTCTTCATTTCAGCTCCAAAGTGCCCTCTGGGAACCTCTGCTGCTGCAGCTGCCCTGTGCAGTCACCACGTGGGCCTGGGATGACGTGTCCACACCCTCCACTTGATTTTTTCAGCAGAACAACTAAGCCGACATGAAACAAGGAGGCTTTTTCTGATTTCTGGGACAGCTGCCTCACTTTGACTGAATTATATTTAAATAACTTAGGTTTCAGGAGGATCGAATGAAGAATGTTTTCTGAATGGGTTCAAAATCAACTTACTTGAATTCCTGCTCTCAAAACTGTTTGGTTGAAGATTTACTGGGTGGCTCATCAGTCAGCCAAGAAGTTCTGGACTACATTTTGGTTTCCTTTTGAAAATATTTTGCAAACCCACAGCCCCTCACTAGATGATGCAGGAAAGGCCCATTTGCTCTTCACCACATAAGTGTAGCCTGAATATTTTCTGTTCTTGGTCATCGTTTTATTCCCCAGGGGAAGCCTAAACTTCTTTATCAAACCCTAAGGTGTCAATTAGGTTGTCATTAAAAAAAAAAAAAAAAAAAAAAGGAGCTGCCTGGAAATGATTTCACTTCTGATCTGTTTCACATGTGTTTAAAGAGGTGCTTGGGTCTGGGACTCTGATTCCTGAAAACCTAACACCTGATCCAAAGACTCACCTCGGCAAACTCACCACAGCCGTGCTCAGATATCGCTGTCTTCAAGAAAAGTCGCTGCTTCCGTGCTCAGATATCGCTGTCTTCAAGAAAAGTCGCTGCTTCATTCCATTTCCAGAATGTCAGTGAATGAAAATAAGGATAATGATGGTTAAAGAGCTAAAGTGAACTTACTATGTGCCAGATTCTGTACTGAGTTTCTCTTATCTCGTTTCACAGTCTAAACATCCCCGGGTTGACTCAGCTGAAGTTCGGAGACCTTACGTAAGGCACCCAAGCTCCCAGAGCTGGTAAGTACTGGAGACTGACTGTGGAATGAAGCCTGATTCCAAAGCCAGTTCTCTTAAGCACTACACATCTATCTTCCCTGTAGTACCTCTGGAAGGCCCTCAGCATTTTTGATAAGCTGTCGACAATTAAGAGAAGTTTTCTTCCTATCCGCCATTGTCCTTAAGCTTCTAAGAAACAGCTAATTGTTGTTCTTGGGAATCAGGAATGTTGGGCACAGCTTATGAAAAATTTTTTTTAAAAAACAGCAAATAAATGAATAACCAGATGACCGTTGTTCTTTGCTTTAAATGCACTTTAGAAATCTTTTAGCTCCTAGAGGACACTGCAATGGTCATAATAAAATGTGTAAAGAGCTGGAATATTGAATCATGCAGAAGTAACAATTTTTATATGGTATGGTATGGCATCCAGGGATGAATTTAGTAGGAAAAATAGCCTTCCATTTGTAAAGCAGATTCAAAAAAAATTGTTTACCAATTGGTAAGCAAAGGGAAATTGTAAAAATGTCTATTTCCATAGCTACTATATTCCAAGAACATGGCTGATTTGTCCTCAGCTTCACTATGTGAGAAAGATAGAAGCATAGACAGCCAGAAAATTGGGGGATTTCGGGTCATCAAACTTCACTCCACCAGAGTTGAGCCATTTTCTTTCATTTGTTCAAAATATTGATTGACCATCTACTGTGTACCAAATATTAGTCAGCAAACAACATAGAAATTGCTACAGCTTTGAAAAGTTTAGGATTACACCTGCTTTAATTTCACTGTCATAAAATGGAAGGTTGTAGATCTGAAACTTTAGTTTTTATAACTTAATTGATTACAGACCTTATATCTTTTGGTGGCAGAAAACAATCTTGCCTACTCAAGGTAAAACTCAGTTCCTTCTGGATTAAAATACAGTTTCTTTGGGGCAAAAAAAAAAAAAAAAATCAGCTCATATTTTCTCTTTCCTTTTTCACCTTTCCATGAAGGCAATTTAAGTTTTAGGCGATCTAAGGAAAAATAGAGCCCCATTTCCACCAGTCTATGGTCCACACTGGCCCTCACTGGGTTGAGTCTCACCTTATTTTGCCCTTGTCCTTAGGTCCTGGGCTTTCCTTCAGGCTTTCACAGTGGCCTTTGGACTCCAGGCATAACCACTCTGAGTCATCCTTGTCCCAAATCCAGACCACTCTGAGTCAGCCCGTATTCTCTCAGCATTCTTCTACCCGTCATGGGTCCGAGAACTTGTGTTTGCTTTCTCCATTCTCCCTGAGAGTATAAGTATTCCCAAGGCCTTCCCAAGCCGATCGGGTGGTATCCCTCATCCACCATTGCTGCCCTCTGTGAGGCTCTTCTATAAGCCTCTCTGTGTCTCTGGGTTTTTCCTGGGGAAGCCAAGCATAGGTCTTCTCTGCTCTGGGATCTGCACACATTGACCAAGGCACTGGTCACTTGTCCCAAGGCAAGGGGCAGGACTTCATTTTTTCCCTTGATTTTCCTCTCCCAATTTCCAGACTCCTTTTCTTCAGCCCAGAAAGAGGCTGCAGAAGAGTAAAGAAATCTGGCTCTTAAATCATCATGAATTATTTCAAAGGTATTGTTTGTGGAATAAACTGCATTGTTAGTTTCTTCAGGACTTAACTTTTTGATTTTAAAAACTCTTTTTGTAAATTGTTAAACTGAACTTTGTTGAAACCAAAAGTCTCTTCTTCTCAAAAGACGCTGTTAAGAAAATGAAAACAAACCACGGGGACGGGGGGAAGATAATCATAGTCCATATATCTACCTACGGACTTATCTCCAGAAAGTATTTAAAACGTCTATAACTCAACACTGTAAAGACAACTAATTTTTAAAATAGCCCAAAAGACTTGAATAGCATTTCATAAAAGAAGTTATATGAATGGTCAAAGAGCACATGAAAAGATACTGAACATCACCACTCAACATGGAAATTGAAGTCATCATGAGATGCCACTTATCCATTAGAATGGCTAGCATGTAAAAGACATGATGACTAAGTCAAGGAAAGACGTGGAGTACTAGAACCCTCATACTGCTGGTGAGACTGTGGAATGATACAACTACTTTGGAAAAGTTTGCCATTTTATTACAAAATTAAACATATACCCATCCTATGACATTATCCTAAGAGAAATGAAAGCATATGTCCACAAAAATCTTTGCAAGAATGTTCATGGCCGCATTCGCCATAATAACTCAAACCTGAAAATGTCAAATATCCATTCACAGAAGAATGGATAAACTGTGGTGTATCCACACAGTGGAGTACTGCTTAGCAAACAAAAAAGAACAAACTACTTAAACATGCAACGGCATGGGCAAAGCTCAAAGACAATGTGTTAAATGAAATTAGCCAGGCACAAAAGTACAATTCTATGCATATCAAGTCCTAGAACAGATAAACCAGACTATTATGAGAGTATGAAATGAGAATAGTAATTGCCTCTGGTTGTAGGGGCTAAAATGAGCTTTGACCATGAGGACACAAGGCTACTAAACAGGGTGAAGAAATGTTCTCTGTCTTCAATGTTCTGGGGGTTATTCAGGTGTATATGTTTTCAGGAACTTAAAATTTGTGTGCATCTTGCTCCATGTAAATCCTGCCCAACTTAAACAGAATCGGGAAAATACTTTTTCTCTCAAAATCTCAACTCTAACAAATCAAAATTTTGGCTTTCGAAGCAATTGTTCCTTGCTTTGATTTTTAAAATAAAACATTCAGAAAATCTGTTGATTTTTGTTGTTGTTCAAGACTGCATGTGCCTTCTCCTGAAGGTGGTTGGTTCCATTAGCTCTTGCTGGAGGGGAGACAGGAACACCAGTTGTTCCACATTCTCACTAAAACTTCTCCTGAAGGTGGCTGGTTCCATTAGCTCTTGCTGGAGGGGGCAGGAATACCAGTTGTTCCACATTCTCACTAAAACTTCTCCTGAAGGTGGTTGGTTCCATTAGCTCTTGCTGGAGGGGGACCGGAACACCAGTTGTTCCACGTTCTCACTAAAACTTCATATGCCAACTCCTTGTAATTTTAGACATTGTAACAAGTAAGCAGTGGTGTCTTACTGTGGTTTTATGAGGTCAATCATCTTTTTATGTTTGTTATCTGTATCTATTATTTGGCAAAGTATCTGTTAAAATCTGTTATTGAGATGTCTTATTATTGAGTTATGAGAGTTCTTTACACATTCTGGATCCAAACTGTTTATGAGATATGTGAATTGTGAATTTTTTGAAGTTTGCTTTTATTTTCCTAACACTATTTTGGAAGAGCAAATGTTCTTAATTTGATGAAGTTCAATTTGCTCTTTCATGGGTCATGCTTTTGGTGTCTAAGAAATCTGCATAACACTAGGTCACATAGATTTCCTTCTAGGTTTTCTTCTTGATATTTTATAGATTTAAGTTTTATCTTTAGGCTTATAATCTATTTTGAGTTAATTTTTTATAAAGTGTCACCTTTTTTATTGCTTATGAGTAATTATTCCAGTAGTATTTTTAAAAAGATGACTCTTTCTCTACCAAATCGCCTTTGTATTAAAAAATAAGTAGATCTCATATGTGTAGTTCTATTTCTGAACTCTATTCTGTTTCATTGATCTGCTTGTCTAGCTTTGCACTATCTTAGTTACTATAGCTTTATACTAAGACTTAAAATCAGGTAGTGTAAATCCCCCATTGTTTCACTTTTAACCTATTTGTGTTTTTATATTTAAAGTGTGTTTCTTGTTGGCCAAGTACAGTTCTTGCTTTTGTATGTAATCTGCTAATCTCTGCCTTCCAACTGGAACACTTAAGCCATTTACACTTAATGTGTTTTTTAAAATATGTTTGAATTTAAACTACCATCTTGATATGTGATGTCTCTTTGTCTTATCTGTTTTTTCTTGCTTTTTTCTGTTTTCCTTCTTTTTAAGAAATTCAGCATTTTTATGATTATATTTTATCTCCTTTGTTAGTTTAGTTCCTATAATTCTTTGTTATATTACTGTAATGGTTGCTTTAGAGTTTATAGTATATATTTAACTTATCCATATCTACTCACAAGTGATATCACACCACTTCATGTATAGAATGAGGTCTTTATGTCTGATACTTGTCATTCTTTCCTCATTTTGTGTGCTGTTTTTGTCATACGTTTCATGTTCTTTGTTGTCATTAGCATGATTTATTTTTATTATTTTTGTTTTAAATGATCGATTATTTTTAAAGAGATTTAAGCAATAAGAACAAGTATTTTTTTGTTTATCCAAGTTGTCGTTTCTGGCCATCAACATTCATTTGCATAGATTTAGGTTTTCTTCAGTCTCACTTCTTCCTGAAGGACATCCTTTAACTTTTTTTTATAACATAGATCTACTGGTGATAAATTCTTTTAAAATAAATGTTTTACTTTGTCTTCCTTCTTAAAAAACATTCTTACTGGATATGGAATTTGGGGTTGACTTTTTGTTTCAGAACCTTGAAACTATTGTTTTACTGTATTTTGCCTTGCATTGCTCTGACTGGCAGTTTGCTTCTTTTCTTATCTTGACGCTCTCTAGGTAATGTGTCTTTTTTTCTCTATGTACTTTCAACATACAGTAGTCATCCTTTATCTGTGATGATATGTTCCATGAACCCCAGTGGATGTCTGAAACTGTGGATAGTACTGAACCTATATATATTATGTTTATTTCTATACATACATACCTATGATAAAGTTTCACTTATAAATTAGGCACAATAAGAAGTTAACAGTAATAATTAATAATAAAATAGAATAATTATAGAATAATAAAATAGAATAGTATAACAATATACTATAATAAAAGTTGTTTGAATGTGCTGTCTCTTCTCTTTTTTTCTCCTTTCTCTCTCAAAATATCTTAGTGCACTGTACTCACCTATTTTCAAACCATGTTTGACTATGGGTAACTGAAACCATGGAAAGGGACACCACAAATAAGTGGTGATTACTCTATTCTCTTTATCACTGATTTGAAGCAATT